AGTGGGCGTCTGAGTGGATTAATGGATGCTGGGTTTTTCTTCCCCCTTCCCTTTCTTCTTCTTCTTCTTCTTCTTCTTTTGATCCTTGTTGCAAACTTGATTTGAAACCCCAACCATGTACAATCTGGCTGGGAGTTTATTTCCAGCGAACGATGGGTACAGTTTTATAAGCAGAACAGGGAGTGACTCTCCCACCCACTTTTTTGCATTACACCACGTATACATGGGCACATCGAACCAATTTGGCATAGTAGTTTGAGTGTTGGACTGCAACGCTGGAGACCAGAGTTTGATTCCCAGCTCAGCTGTGAAACCCGCTGGCTGACTGTGGGCAAGACACATGCTCTCAGCCTTAGAGAATGGCAATGGCAAACCCCCTCTGAAGAAACTCGCCAATAAAACCTCATGCTAGGATTGCCTTAGAGTAGCCATAAGTCAGAAATAACTTGTAGGCACACAACAACAACAAATACATGGGCACATTGAACCAGTGTGGCATAATGGTTTGAGTCCTGGACTATGACTCTGGAGATCAAGGTTGGATTCCCAGCTCGGCCATGAAACCCACATGTTGACCTCGGGCAAGACACATGCTCTCAGCCTCAGGGAAGGCAATGGCAAAACTCCTCTGAACAAATCTTGCCAAGAAAACCCCATGATAGAAACGACTTGAAGGCACACCACCACTGCCACCAAAATAACAAACATACATAGGCTTGCACCCTAGAGATGTTTGGCTGGTCATTGTTGGAACTATAATACTAGGCTTTGAGGGGCCTTGACTCAGATCATCTGCAAAGTGTTAACGTAAGGCTGGGGTGATGGTAGCACAGCTTAAGAAAACACTCAGATGGTTTTCTAAGGGTGCAGAGGAGAGAAACTGCCTATTTTTTTTTCCTTTTGCATGATGTGTGTGTGTGTGTGTGTGGTTTTTAAATTCTATTTTAATCTTGTGTTTTAGTAATTTTTATATTACTGAATGTTATATAAATGTTTTATTCTGCAACTGCTTGTAAAGTACCATGCACATGGATGGTGCTATATAAATGAAGGATAATAATAAGAATAATACTAAGGGAGAAGGGAAGGAATGCTGCATTCTTCCGACTCCTCCAGGAATCAGATGTTGCTTGGGTCGGTGAGGGCTTTCTCATGGGTGCTCAATCTCTCTTCCTCCCACAGAAGATCAATAAGCGGCTGAGACCTTGAGGTTATCTCTCCCCTCCATACCCAGCCCCACTTGTCTCCGCCAGCCTCTGCTTGGCAGGGAGCAGGCTGGCCTTGGGAAGTGGCACGGAAGAGAAGATACACCGACAACAGCTGCCTTTGCAGACCAGCCTTGTTGATTCAAGCAGAACTATTTTAAGGACAACCAGTCCCTCTCCCATCTGGACTTACTAGGAACCCAGTGTCTCTGCCAAAGCTTGGGCACATTCCTTTTGTGGGGGGACAACAATTCTCAGAATCCCCCAGGGGCTGTGCTGATTGAGGGGTCCTGCAAGTTATAATCCAAAGAAACTGTTTTGTAATGCAAACCAAACTGGTTTCCATTCAACAGTGGGTAGAAGTGGGCACAATTGCCTGTGAGGCCCTTTCCTACTCTATGATTCTAGTTAAATTGTTGGTTATGACCTATAAATCCCTATATGGCGCAAATCCAGGTTATTTAGTTCTCCCGTACGAACCTGCCCATGTTTTGAGATCTACAAGGGAGGCCCACCACTCTCACAAATACATCTGGTACGAACATGGGAGAGGACCTTTTTTGGTGTCTCCCCCCCAGGTTCTAGAATTCCCTTTGCAGAGAATTTAAACTGGTACTCTCCTTACTACCTTTCTGCAAGCAGGTGAAGACCTTTTTATTCCGACAGACATTTGAGTGTTGGGGGTTTTGTTGTTGTTGTTGTTGCTGTTGTTGTTTTACTTAGGAAAAATGTGCCTTGTATGATGTGTTGGAATTTTATTTGAATTTTTAAAATGGCTTATGCTTTAACTGGTTTTAATATTAATTTTGTTTATCATTTAATCACTTTTTAACTTTTGTATGCTGCAAATTTTTAACTATGTTTGTTTTAACTGTTGGAAGCTGCCTTGAATCCCAAACTGAGGGGAATCAATCAGTCAATAAGAACAGTATTCTGTATCAGCTACTTAGTTAAGTACAGTGAGGTCTTCTTATCTGCGGGCTTGCCATCCAAAGATTTCAGCTTCCATGGACGGCAAATCCTAGAAGTCTAAATGGAGGTTTGTGCATGGCTGCATGCACATCCTCATTGTAAACAATGGGACGTGAGGTCCCACATTTTTTGTTATCGGTGGTTTGTGTGTGTGTGTGTCCAGAACAGATCCCTCGCAGATGCGAAGGGACGACTGTATATTTAAATGCACTAGGAAAGCCAGCGTGGCATAGTGGTTTGAGTGTTGGATTATGATTCTGGAGACCAGGGTTCGATTCCCAGCTCGCCCACAAAACCCACCACTGGATAACCTTGGACAAATCACATGCTCTCAGCTTCTAGGAAGGCAATGGCAAATCTCCTCTGAACAAATCTTTCCAAGAAATCCCCATGAAAGGTTAGTCTTGCGGTCGCCATAAGTTGGAAATGACTTGAAAGCACACAGCGACTACCCAGCTTAATGGGGGCAGTGGGATTACACATTGTAAACGGCTTAGGGAGTGCTAGTTCACTGATAGGCGGTATAGAAATGTACTTGCTATTGTCATTAAATCTTTAGGAACAGAGCCTGGATAAACTTAAGTTTTAGGGATTGCAATTCTCTGAATCTCTTGGCCAACATGGCTGCTGGTGGTTTTGGGATTCTATGAGTTCTATTCCAAAGAAATGGCTTATCTAAATTTTGTTTAGGAACTTAAAACTCTGCATTGCTGTATTAGGACAGGCACAGTGTAGTGATTTGAGGGCTGGGCTGCAACACTGGATACCCACTTGCTCATGGGAACTGATTGGGTGACCATAGGCAAGTCATACTCTCTCAGCCTCAGCAAACCCCTTTTGAACAAATTTTGTCAAGAAAACCTCATGATATAGTCACCTTAACTTTGAGATCACTGTTCTTGAAGGCACACAATGACAATGAAGTACTTACGTTTTCCTGCCCTGGTGTGCTGGTCCACTCACCTGAGGCTCATCCACGCTACAGAATTATACTGTCCTACTTTAACAGCCATGGTTCCATCCTATGGAATCCTGGGATTGGCTGCTTAGGGAAAGGCATTTAAAATTCCTGGCCAGAGAGCTCTAGTGCCTCACCAAACTATAAACCCATGATTCCATAAGAAGGAACCATGGCAGATAAAGTGGAAGAATAGCACTATTATTCTGTAGTGTGGATGAGCCCCTAATTAATGGCATTATTGTTCTCTAGGAAGTAATTCCAAGTGCTTCATTGAATTACAAATCCCAGGATTCCATAGGATGTAGCCGTGGCACTCAAAATGGGATCTAGGTCCTGTAGTTGTCCATACTCAATTAAAGTAACTGATCTTGGGCACTGGGAAAATTGGCAAGAGGATGGACAGGACATGCCTTTGCTGGGACAGACAGAACTTATGTTTATTTATTTAATAGATATACAGTGGGACCTTGGTATCCATTGGGGTTTGGTTCCAGGACCCCTTGTGGATACCAAACTCTGTGGATGTTCAGGTCCCATTAAGTACAATGGCATAGTAAAATGTTGTTCCTTGTGTAAAATAGCAAAATTAAGGTTTGGTTTTTGGAATATATATATGGAATATTTTCAAGCTGTGGGTAGTTGAATCTGTGGATAAAGAATCCGTGGATACAGAGGGCTGATTTATATCCCAAATCTTATGGGCTGGGAAATCCCATGTTTTTTTCTTAACTTGACAAGTAATTTTTTTAAACAGCAACTTCCAGAATCCTGGGATCTGCATTCCAGAAAAAGGAACTTACCCAAACTCTGACCCAGACAAGTGGTAACTGCGAGCCCAAGTGGGTTGGAGGTCGTTTGAGAAGGCCTGTGTATATAAATAAGGTTGCTCCATGAATGGAGCTGTCTATGCTGGATTGAGGGGTTCTGAGATATCTGGACTGAGAAGAAAGAACTTTTCCAAACTCTGGTATCTCTGGCTGGAGGAATGTATAGAAAAAAGGGCTCAAAAATATTCACTCACTTACTTATTCATTCATCATTTCCCACCCTTTCTCCAGTTCTAGAATTCAAGGCAGCTCACAGCTCAAATAACTAGATCCCAAACTGACATTAGACTATGGCAGCTGGGAATAAATAAGTAAGTGTGTGTGTGTCTGTTGGGAGATAGTCACATTAGTCTGTTGAAGCAAAACCAAAAAGAATCTTGTGGCAGCTTAAAGACTAAGACATTTTACTGAGCACAAGTTTTCCCGGAAGTGGGCTGAAGTCTACAAAATCTTATAGCAAACAAACAAAGAAGTCTTTAAGGTGCTACAGGACTCTATGGGGGGTTGCAGACTGCCAGAAATAGTGTGAATTCAGTCCACTTTTAGGGTTAGGGTTAGTGTTAGGGAATCATGGGAACTGTTATTTTCCTGAGACATTGAACCTTCTCTGTCAGACAACTCTGGTGCCACAATAAAATACAGTTCCCATGGTTCCCTAACTCTAACCCTAACCCTAAAAGTGGACTGAATTCACACTATTTCTGGCAGTCTGCAACCCCCCTTTGTTTGTTATATGTCATGTGTGGCTGTGTTGGTATGTGTGTGTGTTTCAATTTAAGACACAATCTGCTTTGAAAATTGTTGGCACTGGTTTAGATGAATTCATAATGTTTTCCCAGCTTTACATGGATACTGGTAGAATCCTTGCAGAGCTAGCCCTCATGAAACAGACACAAAAAAACTTAGTCTAACAAGAGCCAAAAGATCTTAAAACCAAGGTTTGGCAGGTTAGATCCCTGACCAATGCCAGCTGGTCGCTTCCATATCAGAGGGGTAGTGAACCCCTTCTGTGTTGTATTCCAAACCTTAAAAGAGTTTTCCAACTTGCTGAGCCTGTTTGGTGGGTCGAATTCAGATCAGTTTTAAAGTTCAGATTAGAAGCCAGAGTAGATTCACTGCCTTCCACTATAGAAGCCACTGGCTGCTAGTATTCCTGGCATTTTACTGGAAGAGGAGGTGATGGGAGAAACCTATTTGCTTAGACCAGTGGTGGTACTAGCTTGGTGTCACCTGGTGAGAGGGGCTGCCAGGGAAGGGATGGCAGTGGTCTTCCTTGCCTTCCCATCCTGCTGTCTTGTTCACCTGCCCCCTGACTCCCCAGTTGTCCACATCTATACCAGACCCAGAAAAAGTAGTTGAGTGGCAGCGGCATCCTCCACTGCCTCCTTTCCTTGTCCCACTGCCCACCCAGGGCTGCCAGGGGGCAGCCAAGCAAGTGAGGCAGCAGGAGGAGATCTAAGGGGAAAGCTTACCCCTTCTTCTTCACTGCCTTGGCTTCCTCCTCATGGAGAAAGTCAGGACAGTGGAGAAGAAGAGGTGGGTGCCTGGTACAGCAGCACTGTACACACACACACACACACACACACACACACACACACACACACACACAACATATTGGCAAGAGGACCCAACTGGGTATCTTCTGAGGTGTCACCCAGTGCAGTCTGCACCCAACTAGTGGCACCACTGCTTGAGACCCTGGAAAACTGCTGCCTTTTGGTATTGATGAGTGAGAAAGTACCTTACAATTATCACACTCCTCCCCATCAGTTCATCTCTGCAGTCTCCCATCCAGGTAACATAGATGTCCAAACCTGGTTAACTACAGCTGAACAGAACAGGCAACCCCAGAACTTAGAAAAGTTCATATATTGAGGGGGGAGGAACTGCAGCTTTCACAATTCTTTAGCCTGCATGGTCCTGCTGACTGGGGTGGTGGTGTTCTGGACACTGTAGTCCAAAATTTCCAAGCTGCACCTTTGAGACTGCTCTTTTTCCGGCCAGGACAATATTTGCATCTGTGTGTAGAAAAGGTTCCCCTTCCTGCCCCCAGCTTGACAGCTTGACAGCTGTGTCTCTTCACAGCTGGACAGGTGGATGCGGTGGCAGCCAGTTGCACAGTAACCTTCCAGATCTCATGCCCTGTAGGGGAAGCGGGCAGAAGCTTGGGGAGATCTGAAGGTGACTCCAATATGCAATCAGATGGACATTTCCTTTCCTATCTCCTCCTTTCCACATCAACCCTTATAAGAGAGCAGAATCAGCAGGCAAAGCATTTATTCCAAATTAACAGGCTTACCATGAAGGACTTCCAAGCTGCACCAGGCAAGAAGCTCAATGAGAACTTTATTGTCTCACTCAGTCAAGAACACAACATACTGTTAACCTCTTGATTCCACTCAGATAAAATACAGTCCAGTGCCACTAGCGATAGAACAGTGCAATGATATTATCCATATAATGTCCAGAGGAATAATAATAATAATAATAATAATAATAATAATAATAAGTTTTATTTTTAACCCGCCCCTCTGCTCAGCAATCGGGGCGGTGTACAACCTTATAAAAACAGTAAACAATTAAAACATTCCCAAATCCCACACCCTAACCCTCCCACCCCTTAAAACTAAATTAAACCAAGAAAGAATTAAAATGAATTTAAACATAAATACAAATAAAACGATTTTTGGGCAGTATACAAACAGTGGCAGATTGGGGGGCAGATAGCAAACCAGAAGGCAACCAAAAAGATAAAAGGTCTGGATTCCATGCCCTATGAGGAACAACTTAGGGAGCTGGGTGTGTTTAGCCTGGAGAAGAGAAGGTTAATGATATGGTGATATGATAGCCCTGTTGAAATATTTGAAGGGATGTCACTGAGAATGGAGCAAGCTTGTTTGCTGCAGCTCCAGAGAGTAGGATCCAGAGCAATGGATTCATGGGATCCTGCATTGCACAGACAGGACTTAACCCTATGCTCATGCAGTTCTACTCAGTTCTTGCCCCCAAAGAAGGTAGCTTCCCAGTGCCAGATCATGCCCTCAAATGGGAGGATGGGGAGTGTCTGGGCAGCATCTTGCAGAAATTCTGCAGCTGGCAGAAAAGAGAAAACATTGCCCTCTTGGATCTTCAGCAAATATGGTTTCTTCTCCCAGTTGTGTAGCTGTGTTCCTTGTCCTCCCTGGGCACTAATTTTATGAATGTATACAATTTTACAATGGCTGTAAAAGCACATGCACATATGTAGCATCAGATTCCATTAATGTACATCACCAGCAGGATTGCAGCCAATGTGTTCTGAGAGGCTGGAGCAAGTCTAAGTAGTAAGGGTGATCAAGAGACCTTTCACGAAAAAAGAAGAAAATTTGTTGTGGATTTCAGTTTCATAACTTGCATGAAGCGTGGGGAGAATTGGGGGTTTGAATTGTCTGTGTAAATTCTCCGGGGGGGGGGATTTCTTCAGATAGAAGCAGAGGACTGGGTTAAAGATAAAATCAGTAAG